TTTGAACCCGTCACCTTAGGTGTACATGGCTGGCGCCTTAGCCAGTTGAGGTATAGGCGCCGAGCCCCTTTTTTCTTCTTAAATAACTCAGGGAGTGGTGAAAAGGATTATATTCCTTTGTCAGTTTTGATAAAAAACTTGATTGATGTTCTGGGTAAAACCTTAGAATGAACAGAAGTTTTACTAAGCTGTGCTCGATGTGATTTTCTCAAGCAGCTTAGCATTTAAAAGCTAGAATGTGTTAGGTTTCCAGGGTACAGAATAATATCTATAACAGATACAGCCACATGCATTGTTTCCATGGGCTTTGCATGCTAGCTTAGCTAATTTGGAAAAAAGTTATATCAGAAAAATGTATCCAAGTCATTTTTATAGTAACTCTAAACCAGTTCAATGATAGTGATTTAAATTAAGATTGCATTAGAATGTTATTTAGGCCTATTAAATGTTATCCTGTATTTTTAAAATCTTGCTATGTGAAGAATAATCATACTGCAATATAAAATAATTTGAGACTAGGCTGGGGTGCAATGGCTCAAGCCTGTAATCCTAGCCAGGGTAGGCGGATTGCTTGAGATCAGGAGTTTGAGACCAGCCTGAGCAAGAGCAGACCCTGTCTCTACTAAAAATAGAAAAATTAACCGGGTGTGGTGGTGAGTGCCTATAGTCCCACCTACTCTGCAGGCTGGGATCACTTGAACCCAGCAGTCTGAGAGTACTGTGAGCTAAGCTGACACCATGGCACTGTAGCATAGGCAATAGAGTTGAGACTGTCTCAAAAAACAAAAATTACTTGAGACTTATCTTTTGTGTATATCTCATATACAAATACATACTTCTTAGCATCTAGAATTTTTTTTTATAACTTAGTTTTTAAATTCAGATGCATTACTTTTAAGTAAACTAATTCCATTTGATATCTTGTGTTTTGCGTAAAATAATTCATATTGCTTAAAGCCTTGGTTTTGGTGATTCTGTGTGCTATTCTATTTAACAAGTACCTGTTAGTATAATGTAGTATAGTATATTTCCAACAACCTTTTGAAATTGAGGTTTCTAGTATTGTTATGTCAACCTAAATAACAGATTCTTTCTTTTGAAAGAAAACACATTTATTTGGGAACAGAGCAATGGGAATACATATACTATAGTAAACTATGGACCTATTCAGGCAGGTAAAGGAAGACAAAGTT